GGTGCATCAAAGCTGGGACCGAGATAATTAAAAACAGCTTCTATCTCAAGGCCATCACTAGCACATTAGAGGCTGCTGCTGCCTATTGAAATCACTGGCCATTTTAAGAAATGGAACACTAGTCACTTTAATAATGTTTACAGTCACTTTAATAATGTTTACATATCTTGCACTACTCATCTCAAATGTACATACTGAATTCTATCCTATAATATTCTACTATATATTAGTCCATGCCGCTCTGTCATTGCTTGTCCATATATGTATAGTTTCTTAAATTCCATTCCTTACTAGTTTTGTGTGTATTAGGTATATGTTGTGAAATTGTTAGATATTACTTGTTAGATACAGTGAGGGAAAAAAGTATTTGATCCCCTGCTGATTTTGTACGTTTGCCCACTGACAAAGAAATGATCAGTCTATAATTTTAATGGTAGGTTTATTTGAACAGTGAGAGACAGAATAACAACAAAAAAATCCAGAAAAACGTATGTCAAAAATGTTATTAATTGATTTGCATTTTAATGAGGGAAATAAGTATTTGACCCCCTCTCAATCAGAAAGATTTCTGGCTCCCAGTTGTCTTTTATACAGGCAACGAGCTGAGATTAGGAGCACACTCTTAAAGGGAGTGCTCCGAATCTCAGTTTGTTACCTGTATAAAAGACACCTGTCCACAGGAGCAATCAATCAATCAGATTCCAAACTCTCCACCATGGCCAAGACCAAAGACCTCTCCAAGGATGTCAGGGACAAGATTGTAGACCTACACAAGGCTGAAATGGGCTACAAGACCGTCGCCAAGCAGCTTGGGGAGAAGGTGATGCGGTTGGTGCGATTATTCGCAAATGGAAGAAACACAAAAGAACTGTCAATCTCCCTCGGCCTGGGGCTCCATGCAAGATCTCACCTCGTGGAGTTGCAATGATCATGAGAACGGTGAGGAATCAGCCCAGAACTAAACGGGAGGATTTTGTCAATGATCTCAAGGCAGCTGGGACCATAGTCACCAAGAAAACAATTGGTAACACACTACGCCGTGAAGGACTGAAATCCTGCAGCACCCGCAAGGTCCCCCTGCTCAAGAAAGCACATATATAGAGGGCCGTCTGAAGTTTGCCAATGAACATCTGAATGATTCAGAGGAGAACTGGGTGAAAGTGTTGTGGTCAGATGAGACCAAAATCGAGCTCTTTGGCATCAACTCAACTCACCATGTTTGGAGGAGGAGGAATGCTGCCTATGACCCCAAGAACACCATCCACACCGTCAAACATGGAGGTGGAAACATTATGCTTTGGGGGTGTTTTTCTGCTAAGGGGACAGGACAGCTTCACCACATCAAAGGGACGATGGACGGGGCCATGTACCATCAAATCTTGGGTGAGAACCTCCTTCTCACAGCCATGGCATTGAAAATGGGTCTTGGATGGGTATTCCAGCATGACAATGACCCAAAACTCACGGCCAAGGCAACAAAGGAGTGGCTCAAGAAGAAGCACATTAAGGTCCTGGAGTGGCCTAGCCAGTCTCCAGACATTAATCCCATAGAAAATATGTGGAGGGAGCTGAAAGGTTCGAGTTGCCAAACCTTCTGTCTCTCACTGTTCAAATAAACCTAGCATTAAAATTATAGACTGATGATATCTTTGTCAGTGGGCAAACGTACAAAATCAGCAGGGGATCAAAAACTTTTTTCCCTCACTGTATTACTGCACTGTCGGAGCTAGAAGCACAAGCATTTCGCTACACCCTCTATAACATCTGCTAAACACGTGTATGTGACAAATACATTTAGATTTGATTTGATTTGACTTGGGTGACTGGAGTCTTTGACAATTTTTTGGGCCTTCCTGTGACACTGCCTAATATAGAGAACTTTGAGGATCTGGGGACCCATGTCAAATCATTTCACTCTCCTGAGGGGGAATGGGCGTTGTTGTGCCCTCTTCACGACTGTCTTGGTGTGTTTAGACCATGTTAGTTTGTTGATTATGTGGACACCAAGGAACCTGAAGCTCTCGACCCGCTCCACTACAGCCCCGTTGATGTGAATGGGGGCGTGTTCTGCCCTCCTTTTCCTGTAGTCCAAGATGAGCTCCTTCGTCTTGATCACGTTGAGGGAGAGGTTGTTATCCTGGCACCACACTGCCAGGTCTCTGACCTCCTCCCTATAGGCTGTCTCATCGTTGTCGGTGATCAGGCCTACCGCTGTCGTGTCGTCAGCAAACTTAATGATGGTGTTGGAGTCGTGCTTGGCCACGAAGTCGTAAGTGAACAGGGAGTACAGGAGGAGACTAAGCACGCACCCCTGAGGGTCCCCTGTGTTGAGGATCAGTGTGGCAGATGTGTTGTTACCTACCCTTACAACCTGGGGGCGGCCTGTCAGGAAGTTCAGGATCCAGTTGCAGATGGAGGAGTTTAGTCCCAGGGTCCTTAGCTTAGTGATGAGCTTTGTGGGCACTATGGTGGTGAATGCTGAGCTGTAGTCAATGAATAGCATTCTCACATACGTGTTCCTTTGTCCAGGTGGTAAAGTGCAGTGTGGAGTGCAATTGAGATTGCGTCATCTGTGGATCTGTTGGGGCGGTATGCGAATTGGAGTGGATCTAGGGTTTCCGGGATGATGGTGTTGATGTGAGCCATGACCAGCCTTTCAAAGCATTCTTGGGCACAGGGACTATGGTGGTCTGCTTGAAACATGCAGGTATTACAGACTCAGGGAGAGGGAGAGGTTGAAAATGTAAGTGAAGACACTTGCCAGTTGGTCAGTGCATGCTCTGACTACACGTCCTGGTAATCAGTCTGGCCCCGCTGCCTTGTGAATGTTGACCTGTTTAAAGGTCTTGCTCACATCGGCTACGTGAAGCTTGATCACACAGTCGTCCGGAACAGCTGGTGCTCTCATGCATACTTCAGTGTTGCTTGCCTCGAAGCGAGCATAAAAGGCATTTAGCCCATCTGGTAGGCTAGCGTCATTGGGCAGCTCGCGGCTGGGTTTTGTTTTGTAGTCCGTAATAGTTTGCAAGCCCTACCACATCCGACGAGCATCAGAGCCGGTGTAGTAGGATTCAATCTTAGTCCTGTATTGACGCTTTATCTGTTTGATGGTGTCCCGCTCCTTGAAAGCGGCAGCTTTAGCCTTTAGCTCGGTGCGGATGTTGCCTGTAATCCATGGTTGGGATATGTACGTACAGTCACTGTGGGGACGACGTCGTTGATGCAGTTATTGATGAAGCCGGAGACTGAGGTGGTATACTCCTCAATGCCATTGGATGAATCCCGGAACATATTCCAGTCTGTGCTAGCAAAACAGTCCTGTAGCGTAGCATCCACGTCATCTGACCACTTCCGTATTGAGCGAGTGGAGGGCGAGGGAGAGCTTTGTATGCGTCTCTGTGGGTGAAGTAAAGGTGGTCTAGAGTTTTTATTTTCTGGTTGCACATGTGACATGCTGGTAGAAATGAGGTAAAACTGATTTAAATTTGCCTGCATTAAAGTCCCCGGCCACTAGGAGCGCCACTTCTGGATGAGCATTTACTTGTTTGCTTATGGCCTTATACAGCTCGTTGAGTGCGGTCTTAGTGCCAGCATCGGTTGTGGTGGTAAATAGACAGCTACGAAAAATATAGATGAAAACTCTCTTGGTAGGTAGTGTGGTCTACAGCTTATCATGAGGTACTCTACCTCAGGCGAGCAATACCTTGAGACTTCCTTAATATTAGACATTAGCACAGCTGTTATTGCCAAATAGACATACACCAACACCCCCCTCAATTTACCGGAGGTAGCTGTTCGGTCTTGCCGATGTACGGAAAACCCAGCCAACTGTATATTATCCATGTCATCATTCAGCTACGACTCTGTGAAACATAAGATATTACCGTTTTTAATGTCCCGTTGGTAGGATAGTCTCGAACGGAGCTCATCCAGTTTATTATCCAGTGATTGCACGTTGGCCAATGTAACCAACCAGTGGCCATAATTATATTACACCCGGTTTGGTTTAGAAACCCCATTGACAATGCATGGGAAATGGTTTAGGGCTGTTTAGCCAAATAATCCCCGGCTGGGGCCTACCTCCCTGCCAGTCTTTTCTTTATTTTAAGCTCACCTGTAAACTCCACTCACTGACTTGTCACTCTAAGCTCTGCCCACTGAGCTTTCATCGAACCAATCAATTTGTTCTGCCAGTGCCCTGGAGGCGGAGTTGCCCTCAGAACAAAACTGAATGAGGTGAACCCCTCTGGGCAGAATTCCAGGGCTCTTTCTCAATTATTCTTTCCTCAATTTCTTGTCCTCTCCTGGCACCGTTGACTAAATATAATTCAAATAATTTGTGTAGGGAGGGACCAGGAAATCTGGTCACAATGCGGACACAGTGGACGCATAAGAGACACATTTGAATACAATGGGGAGACTCAGTAAACCGTGATCAGATCATCTTGATCAAATCACAAAAACCACATGATGGTGCCAGGTGTAACCAGGGCTTGAAGGACAATGAAGAGTGAGGCCAAATCAACAGGGTCACCTTGTATCTTTATGGAAGAGACTTTATTGAATTACATTTGAGAGATTTATCACAAGCACACAGTCCTCAGTGTTATTTTGCATTCAATGAGTAATCATAATTGATAATTCATCAACCAATATCATTGAAACCAATATTTGTACTGCTTTCTGTTTGATGTTCAGTACTTACTAGACTAATCTACACATTCTAGATTATTATAGAAGGCATGGCTCTGATAAATAGTATACGTTTTCAAGACCATTAGTCCCACATGCAAGTATTTTATGCTTTTTCATGGTTGTTGTCACATTGCCAATTAGGATTATTATGCACTACTATAGATCAAGATGGCATACGCCTACTCACAATACAGGTGAATGCTCAATAGGAGTGTGTGCATGCATTGAGTTATTGAGCTTGTTTTGGCTGATTTCTGTGGAGTCTATGGGGCTACAATCTGTTGCCTTTCCATTTGGGACTGTATATTAGCCTACTGATCAACAACATTGGATTACTATGCTTTAGTTCAGCCAGTATCCACAACTCCCCATTGCACATAGCCTCTATTAAAAATGAACTAAACAGGACAAGCTCATACAATGAGGATGAATTAATAATAAAAATGTTTAAACTGTCCACAATTCAGCAATGCAAAATATAGTTGATCTTGAGGTGACAACAGCCAATACTTCTGATCCAACATGTAATGGCAACAACAAGTCTCTCAAGAGTCTGTCAAGAGCCAGGCAACCCAAGCTGCTCCAAATGATTCCACTGAGTTACCACCGATAGCCGTTGTCCTTGTGGAAAGGTCCCATTCCCAAGTTCCCTCTTCGTTCTCCACTCATCTCAATGTCCGTTTGCCACCACCAACACCATCACTCTGGCAGTGGTAGTCTCTTGTGACTGTTAACGTAAGCGCATGTGAGATTTGGTTCTGGCTTGTGAGATTATGGCAGTGGTTGAACACAATGGCAGTGAAACGCTTAAAAATTCAAATCCATTCCCATTATCTCAATGTCACCCGCTAGTTTCTAATGGCATGGTTTTAATTGTATTATATGCCATAGCCCCTCTGTAGCGCCAGGGAGTGTATGCTAGGTGGTTCGGACCCAGCAAATAGGCACCCAGTGGACCTCTGTCTCAACCCTCTGCAGGATGTCCCGGAGTTCTACACAGGCACTGGCCAAGTCCTCCTTCACTAGGACCCGGTCCACCAGGTGGCCGTAGCGCTCGTCCATCAGCTCGGCCGACTGCCTCATTTCCTGAAGGTCCTCCTCCTAACCATGGGACAGAGAGAGTGGAGAGAGAGATTCAGGACTATCAGTTGTTTTAAAATCATAGCTATTTATTATCCTGTCCATTTGAACTCATTTAGCCTATTTTGTTCTCAAATTGTGAAACAGCTGCTTTTTCTCTTTTTCAAGTATGTCAATAGGATGTGACTGCTATCCCTATGAGGTTGGGTGTGTCCATAGGGGGAGTTTGACTTAAAGGTGTGGGTTCTCTATATGATTGGTGTATTGATAAGGTGAATGTGTTGTGTTTGTTTTTAAATTTATATTATGTCTTCAGTCTGTAGTGTGTCTGGGGAAAAGGTAATGCCTATGTGTGTGGCCATGAGTTTTTCCTGGCCATGCAACCTGATCAGGAAAAACTCCTGTCCATACTGTGTGTATGTATGTGTAACTCACCGTGATGCCTACACTGAGTGACGAGGAGGAGCCGTGACGTTTGCAGTGGCTCTCATGGATACGAGGCTTCACAAATATGACATAAGGCTTAAACTCAGCTGTCCATAGGATCTTCAGTGCCTGATGGAGGACAGAACACATTACTCATCATAATCATCATCCTGGACGGCACAATGCACATGGTTCTGGTTAACCTCAAATGGTTTACACAGAAATAGCGTAAGACACATGTAGGTTGTGCCATAGTCACAAACTTTTGTTACATAACGTATCAACACTGCAAGTAATAGTTTTTGTTTTTATGCAGTCGATTGTGTACATGTCACTGTACTTACAATAGTTATGTGAATCTGTTGACTGAGATCAGTAGAGGAGGGTGGAGTAAGAAAAGGGGAGGACCATTCCATTCCAGCCATTACAATAAGCCCGTCGTCCACATTTTCCCCTCAACTGGCTGAGATACATACATACCTCTGGTTGTACATCCACCAAGCACATCTTATTTCGATCCAGCACACTGCGGATGGCCTCCAGACTGGTGCCATAGAAGTTATCCTTGTACTCCCCATACTCTATAAAACTGAACAAACAAAACATAGCCTAACAAAATGCAGTAGAAAAACATTTCATTATTATTGATAAATGCTAAGGGCTCTCTATTCAATCTGTATCGCTGAAGCGTTACAGATTCCGCAATAGAAATGTTAAGGTAATTTCCAATAAAGCCGACATATGCAGTGCTTAACGTGAATGCAGTCTCAGCTAATGCGGGAACATTGCCAAATTTCAATCAGGATTTAACACTGAACTTCCGCAGATTGAATTGAGCCCTATACTTATCTTCACAATTTTCTGGTAACCAAAATATCAAATTTTCTTTAATCAACTTTCCATTTTTTGTTAAAAGTTTTTTAACCTTTTAGTAATTTATTAGCGAATTTATATAATGTTAGAAGTATGAACTAACATGTTGCTTTGAATGTCAGCCTCAAAGGCCTGTTTAGTGATGAAGTTGTACTCCACTCCCTCCCTCTCGTGACTCTTCTTGGCTCTAGTGGTGTCTAGGGTGGAAAGGAAATTCAGAAATACAATACCAAGAATGACATGAACACAATGCCACTTACTCTGTGTGTGTGCGTGTATGTCTGTGTGTGAAATAAAGTAACTTGTGTGTGTGTGTGTGTGAGAGTGAAATATGGTTACTTGAGTGTGTGTGTGTGTGTGTGTGTGACTCACGCGGTACAGCCACACCAAAGTGGCAGGGGTTCTCAGCGATCACCTTCTGTTTGAGCTCATTAATTCTGGCCCCAAGGGAACCTGTGGCCAGACAGACAATGATAGAACACCTTGTTACCATCCGTCTGAACACTTGTCATCAACTCTACATTACACAGGCATGCATGTTTATAGTGCAGGTCAGTAGAGGCCAGTCCAGGTAGGAAGGACCTCCCTCGTAAATGAGACTCTCATGAAACAAGACTACCTTTCAAAATGTCTCTAAAAGGGAGTGTGATAATGTCAGTGGCAGTCGGTGCTGTTTAAGATAAGGGAGGACGATATTATTGTTTTATGAGCATGGCCTTATTTCTATTACAGCATATTGGATGACTGTGATTCATATTCCATTCATCCAGTTCAATATAACATCGATAGGTTTAGGCTACTACATGGTACTAAAATGTTCCCTATACCCATCATGAGGTTGCTACAATCTAGCCTATGAATGAAAGTTTACAATGTAGGTGCACAAATCGAAAGAAAAATGTGAGTAATCAAGGTGACAGAGACACATTCAATACCGCTTTGCACACTCTTGCCTGTATCTACCTGATCTAGGGTGTAATCATTAATCCAACAGTTGCAAACAAGAGTTTCTATTGGACAAATTCCGGTATGTTTATCCCCGTTTGGTTCTGTTTAAGAAACGTGTAGCTCAGTTGCTAGAGCATGGCGCTTGCAACGCCAGGGTTGTGGGTTCGATTCCCACAGGGGGCCAGTATGAAAAAATTTATGCACTCACTAACTGTAAGTCACTCTGGATAAGAGCGTCTGCTAAATGACTAAAATGTAAATGTATTTCAACAGAATCAGCAGAACGAATAGACCCCTGATCACATGCAAACACCGTTCACTTTCATAGCAGCCACATACAAACAGCATGATCACATAATTCCTTCTCGCATCTACGTGCTCTCCTCCTCCTTTCACCTTTTCCCTTCGCTTGTGGACTTTAGTGCACAACAAATCAGCTGTCTGTGACCAGGCGAAAAAATCTTTCCAAGCCAAACCTTCATATCATAACCGCTACACATCCCTGTCACCATATTCACTATCATCATAGTCAACATAACTACTAGAACTATCGTGTTAGTAAACCCGCTACCATCATGCAGTACAGTGTACAGTCAGCAAGCAGTTTAGCAGTTACACCGGCAGGCCCCAATGGCAATACATTAATCAAACCTTACCTTGACTTGGAAAAGTTCCAGTGTTGGATAGCCATAACCAGCTAGCTAACATAGCATCCCTCTCTCTTTGAGCCGGGTGTTTGAGTAGGCTAAACTAGCTAACTGCATTCGCTAGCTAAGTGAAAGTGAAAGTTTAAAAAAAAAGAATCCAACAAAATCTCTCTCTCTTTCTCTCTCTCGCTTCTCCTACATTTTTGAAGAAATTAATTTGTTCAAAACTGTTCAACTATTGTCTTTCTCTCTCTTTGAGTCAAGTACTCACCACATTTTATGAACTGCAGCGCTAGCTAGCTGTAGCTTATGCTTTCAGTTCTGATCCTTTGATTGGGTGGACAACATATCAGTTCATGCTGCAAGAGCTCTGATAGGTTGGCGGTTGTCCTCTGGAAGTTGTCATAATTACTGTGTAAGTCTATGGAAGGGGGTGAGAACCATGAGCCTCCTAGGTTTTGTATTGAAGTCAGTGTACCCAGAGGAGGACGGAAACTAGCTGTCCTCCGGCTATACCATGGTGCTACCCTACAGAGTGCTGTTTAGGCTACTGTAGACTTTCATTGCAAAACTGTGTGTTTTAATCAATAATTTGGTGACATTTTAATATTTGTAGCATAGTTTTATCTAAAAAGGATAACTTTTGTAATGTTTCACAATTTTTTTTCATGAAATTCACTGAGGAGGACGGACCTCCCCTTCCTCCTCTGAGGAGCCTCCACTGGGTAATGTACATTTTTGATCAATTGTTGTAGATATTAAAAACGCTTTCAATGACAAGAACAGGCAATTCAACCTATCAGCTAAGGTTCCTCAATAAAACAATTACAGTATATACAGTGCATTCTAATTTTTTGTTACAGCCTTACTCTAAAATTGATTAAATTACATTTCTTCCTCATCAATCTACACACTATACCCCATAATGACGAAGTGAAAACAGGTTTTTAGACATTTTTGCAAATGTTTGCTATGAGACTTGAAATTGAGCTCAGGTGCATCCTGTTTCCATTGATCATCCTTGAGATGTTTCTACAACATCATTGGCGTCCACCTGTGGTAAATTCAATTGATTGGACATGATTTGGAAAGGCACACACCTGTCTACATAAGGTCCCACAGTTGACAGTGCATGTCAGAGGAAAAACCAAGCCACGAGGTCTCAGGAATTGTCCGTAGAGTTCCGATACAGGATTGTGTCGAGGCACAGATCTGGGGAAGGGTACCAAACTATTTCTGCAGCATTGAAGGTCCCCAAGAACACAGTGGCCTCCATCATTCTTAAATGGATGAAGTTTGGAACCACTAAGACTCTTCCTAGAGCTGGCCGCCTGGCCAAACTGAGCAATCGGGGGAGAAGGGCCTTGGTCAGGGAGGTGACCTAGAATGCGATGGTCACTCTGACAGAGCTCCAGAGTACCTCTGTGGAGATGGGAGAATCTTCCAGAAGGACAACCACCTATGCAGCACTCCACCAATCAGGCATTTATGGTAGAGTGGCCAGACGGAAGCCCCTCCTCAGTAAAAGGCACATGACAGCCCGCTTAGAGTTTGCGAAAAAGGCACCTAAAGACTCTCAGACCATGTGAAACAAGATTCTCTGGTCTGATGAAACCAAGATTGAACTCTTTGGCCTGAATGCCAAGCTTCACTTCTGGAGGAAACCTGGCACCATCCCTACGGTGAAGCATCATTCTGTGGGGATGTTTTTCAGTGGCAGGGTCTGGGAGACTAGTCAGGATTGAGGGAAAGATGAATGGAGCAAAGTACAGAGAGATCCTTGATGAAAACCTGCTCCAGACCGCTCAGGACCTCAGACTGGGGCGAAGGTTCACCTTCCAACAGGACAACGACCCTAAGCACACAGCCAAGACAACGCAAGAGTGGCTTCGGTACAAGTCTCTGAATGTCCTTGAGTGGCCCAGCCAGAGCCCGGACTTGAACCCGATCGAACATCTCTGGAGAGACCTGAAAATAGCTGTTCCACAACGCTCCCCATCCAACCTGACAGAGCTTGAGAGGATCTGCAGAGAACAATGGGAGAAACTCCCCAAATACAGGTGTGCCAAGCTTGTAGCGTCATACCCAAGAAGACTCGAGGCTGTAATCGCTGCTAAAGGTGCTTCAACAACGTACTGAGTAAAGTGTTTGAATATTTATGTAAATGCCATATTTCCGTTTTTAAAAATAAATACATTTGCAAACATTTCTACTAACATGTTTTTGCTTTGTCATTATGGGGTATTGTGTGTAGATTGATGAATAAGGCTGTAACGTGACAAAATGTGGAAAAAGTGAAGGGGTCTGAATACTTTCCAAATGCACTGTATATATATATATATATATATATATATAGAGAGAGAGAGAGAGAGAGAGAGAGTGTTTTTAACACAACTAGCTAACATTATGGATTGGTAAATTCAGAAATCCTAAATCTTATACATGTAGTTTAATTTATCCCAAGACCATAGTCAGCTTGGCACTAATAACCCACAGAGCCCTCATGTCCTTTACCTATCAGCACCACTAGGCGGGGCCTCTCGCTGGGGCGGGGCTGGTAGCGTGTCACTTCCTCATAGATCAGGAAGTCCAGTGGGGCCGAGTCTGGAGTACGAGGCTCTCCCGGGGATCCCTGTCGATCTTTTCTACTCAGACGGAAACTTCTGCGTAGACCAGCTGAGGTCACAGTCACACAGAAAGACAGACAAATATGAGGGACAGACGGACAGACAGATACAAAACGCAAGAAAGAGCACTTAACACTTTAGTCTGGGTGCCTAAAATGAACACTTAAACCTTAGCCTGGGTGCCTGACTGTTTAAAAATATAAATAACACAACATTGACGATTCATAGTTTGCGAAAGCAGAGACAAACTATCACTCAGGCTAACTTCACAGTATAATTTAGAGAGAAGCTTATTTTCAGAAAAGGCTTCCAATCACAAAACGTTGCTTGGCTGATCAAAGGGCACCAGATAAAAGTATCGATTTCACCCCCCCCCCCCCCCAAAAAAAAAAAAAAAAATTATGAAAGGAAAATGCCACATAACACGCACACTACGACGTCAATAAAAGTCTGTAATGGTACCTGAGTAAAAATCCCAGGAAAAAGCATGGCCACAGGAAGCAGGGGTCGCTTTACTCTTATTGGAAAAAACTACAACTAGCATTAGACTCAACCAGCCCCAGTGTCTGATATGGTGCGGCGAAAGAGCAGATAAGCTTGGTTGAGTTAGCCATGCGTCCAATGCAAGGCCTCTTTATAGGCAAGCACCAGTAGACAAAAACACAAGAAGCACCTATAGCTTAAAGTATAAAATAAAGGAAACGCTCTCTGTAAACAATAGAGTTTAAAGAAAGCTGCTACTCTGCACAGTGAGGCAAACACACCAAGCACCACAAATGTACACAGTAATGGCGCTCAACAAAAGGCCACATAGCATACTGAAGTAGACAAGAATCAGCACTAAGTCTGTTGAATTGGATGTGGATTTTTTCCCATAGGAACACAACTTTAATTCAACCAACCACAATTTAAACGGAATTGACCCAACTCTGTTCAAGAAACCAAAAAGGAGGTGGCAAAAGTGTTCAGCAGCATTAAGCCATGGTAAGACACTTCTAACATAGTATGAGAGGTGGATCCTGAATTAGCAATTAGCAAAGCAGTAGAGATACTAGCTAGAAAGGTGGAAGTGGGTTTGAGGACTGGGGAGGGCAGCAGAGTTGCCATATAAGCCACATTCCAGGCCACCCATATTGCAGGTAACCGCTTCAATATGATATTGTAATCTGATGCACGACTGCAATGGATATGATGTAGTACTCAATCATTGGTTAATGTGTGCAGTGCGACTGCTTTGCAGGCGGTCTGGAACATGGCCAAAGTCACAAGGAAGGTCAAGGTAAAGGAGATGTGGTGTGATGGAGATCTGGTAAACCTTCACTTAAACTCTCAAAAAGGGACTAGAGCTACATAATAAAGACCTCATAATGGTAAATAATGGTGTCATAATGCATTAGTTTGAACAAAATTAGTTTCAACAGCCCACATCAACCTTTCGCTGAATGGATTAGCTTAGCCATGAGGCTAGGTAAAGCTTAGCTTTAGCATCGGGGCTAATATGAAGCGTGTTTGTGAGTGGAGCTTAGTCCGTGATGCCCTCACCTATGTCTTGTCCATTCTGAGAGCCCTCACTGTCACAGTCTGCTGTAGGGAGGCAAGCAGGGAGAGAATACTGGGTGAGAGGGGAGGGGAAGTTTTGAAGGGATGTGTGGACTGTGGAGGTTTCTAAAGAGTCCAGGGATGAGGAGGGGAGTTAGGGTGGTAGAGCAAAGCAGGCAGGTTTGTTGCAAGTATTGGGTCAAGGAAGGTAGGGTACGTAAGCAAAAAAACAAACATTCGACAAGTTTCTGTGTGTGTGTGTGTGTGCACTCTCCACCTACCTCTTTCAGCCGGATCATCTGAGGTGAGCAGTAAGGGGGGAAATTAACACAACTCAAACAGGCAGTGCCCACATGATAAGTAATGCAGTCATGTCAAGGTACAGATAACATTAGAGCATATCAAAATGTAAGACCTCACAGTCAATACTCAGACAGATAACGATATAAGAGAGGACAGTAATATTACCCTTTGTTTGCCCACCTACAGATTTGTTGTCATATTTGCTTCCGAATTGAATAAAATGATTAACCATTGGAGAATCATTCTACAATTCCTCCTCTCTTTTGATATCCTTTATCTTTCTTTCTGGCTCTCTACATAAAGTATAAAAATTTATAGAATGCAAATAATACAATGTGCAGCCCAAACTGTTTTTATTACTAATAGTGTAAAATATAAGTGATCATGGGAATCAGTGTATTGAGAGAACTTACATGTGGGTGTTTTCGGTGACACAGGCGCCTGGTAAGTGCCCATCTTTATTCTGTATTTAAGACGCCTGGGAGAGGTGTTGATTGGTAGAAATCCCTCAAATATAAGATAGACTCAGCAATTTGACATCATCATACACAGTGAGGTGACTTCCTGCTTACAGAAAATCAACGATAACTAAATTCTAATCTGCCAAGATTGACACTACTGGCTCTTCCCAATAACATTGGCAATTATATCCCAACAGTGTTTGGAAAATGCAGAATACTCATACAAATCTATTCCTCAAATTAAAGGTAAACTCAGCAATATGACATCATATAGAGCACAGCCCTTGAGTAAGTTGTCCTTGAGGCATGCCCATTATTTCGTACTCTTTAAAGTTGAAACCATTCTAAAAAATGCAGTCTTGCCTACCTCTCCTGGAACTGTGTGGAGGGGATTAGGGCGGCCCTCAGGTTGCTGTCGCCCACTCTCTTGGCCTGCCACCAGGTGGCATCGTCCTGGCTCACCACCTGCAGGATGTCCCCCCGCTTGAAAGGAAGTCCCGCCTCCTGGCAGGGCGTGGCCTTGTCCTCAAAGGGGGTGTAGCCAAACAAGGCCCTCAGGTAGACCTAGTACAGGAAGAGCAGGCTTCAAACCATGACAGGGGTGCATAGACATTCTTAAGAGAAGAATAGATGCTTCGCTCACCACAATTAAAATGTGATGTTTTATTTTAAGCCTCTCAAGGTTTTTTACCTCTCTGTCGTTTGCCTTTCAAACTCTCATCATATTGTTTAGTATTTTTCTTGTGTGCCAATAAATAAATAGCATGAGCTGGCGCACACCCAGAGATAATTATTTTGTGTAGATGTGCTGACTAACGCCGAATAAACTGTAAACTATAAAAATAAAAATAAATAAAGAGAGTCACACAGTATATATATATATATATATATATATATATATATATATATATATATATATATATATACATATATATATATATATACATATATATATACTACCGGTCAAAAGTTTTAGAACACCTACTCATTCAAGGGTTTTCCTTTATTTTTACTATTTTCTACATTGTAGAATAATAGTGAAGACATCAAAACTATGAGATAACACATATGGAATCATGTAGTAACCAAAAAAGTGTTAAACAAATCAAAATACATTTTATATTTCAGATTCTTCAAATAGCCACCCTTTGCCTTGATGACAGCTTTGCACACTCTTGACAACCAGCTTCACCTGGAATGCTTTTCCAACAGTCGTGAAGGAGTTCCCACATACGCTGAGCACTTGTTGGCTGCTTTTCCTTCACTTTGCGGTCCGACTCATCCCAAACCATCTCAATTTGGTTGAGGTCGGGGAATTCTGGAGGCCAGGTCATCTGATGCAGCACTCCATCACTCTTCTTCTTGGTAAAATAGCCCTTACACAGCCTGGAGGTGTGTTGGGTCATTGTCCTGTTGAAAAACAAATGATAGTCCCACTGAGCCCAAACCAGATGGGATGTCGTATCGCTGCAGAATGCTGTGGTAGCCATGCTGGTTAAGTGTGCCTTGAATTCTAAATAAATCACAGACAGTGTCACCAGCAAAGCACCCACACACCATAACAACTCCTCCTCCATGCTTTACGGTGGGAAATACACGTGGCGATCATCCGTTCACCCACACCGTGTCTCATAAAGACACGGCGGTTGGAACCAAAAATCTCAAATTTGGACTCCAGACCAAAGGACACATTTCCACCGGTCTAATGTCCATTGCTCGTGTTTCTTGGCCAAAGCAAGTATTTTCTTCTTCTTGGTGTCCTTTAGTAGTGGTTTCTTTGCAGCAATTCGACCATGAAGGCCTAATGTCTCCTCTGAACAGTTGATGTTGAGATGTGTCTGTTACTTGAACTCTGTGAAGCATTTTTTGGGCTGCAATTTCTGAGGCTGGTAACTCTAACGAACCTATCCTCTGCAGCAGAGGTGACTCGTGAGTCTTCCATTCCTGTGGCGGTCCTCATGAGAGCCAGTTTCATCATAGCACTTGATGGTTTTTGTGACTGCACTTGAAGAAACGTTCAAAGTTCTTGATATTTTCCGGATTGACTGACCTTCATGTCTTAAAGTAATGATGGACTGTCGTTTCTCTTTGCTTATTTGAGCAGTTCTTGCCATAATATGGACTTGCTATTTTACCAAATAGGGCTATCTTCTGTTTACCGCCCCCTACTTTGTCACAACACAACTGATAGGCTCAAACGCATTAAGAAGGAAAGAAATTCCACAAATTAACTTTTAAGAAGGCACACCTGTTAATTGAAATGCATTCCAGGTGACTACCTCATGAAGCTGGTTGAGAGAATGCCAAGAGTGTGCAAAGCTGTCATCAAGGCAAAGGGTGGCTATTTGAAGAATCTGTAATATAACATATATTTTGATTTGTTTAACACTTTTTTGATTACTACATAATTCCATATGTGTTATTTCATAGTTTTGATGTCTTCACTATTATTCTACAATGTAGAAAATAGTGAAAATAAAGAAAAACCCTTGAATGAGTAGGTGTTCTAAAACTTTTGACCGGTAGTGTGTATATATACAGTTGAAGTCGGAAGTTTACATAAACCTTTGCCAAATACATTTAAACTCAGTTTTTCACAGTTTCTGACATTTAATCCTGTTAAAAACTCCCTGTCTTAGGTCAGTTAGGATCACCACTTTATTTTAAGAATGTGAAATGTCAGAATAATAGTAGAGAGAATTATTTATTTCAGCTTTTATGTCTTTCATCACGTTCCCAGTGGGTTAGAAGTTTACATACACTAAATTCATATTTGGTAGCAAAAGAAATCAGCCAAGACCTCAAAAAAAATCGTAGACCTCCACAAGTCTGGTTCATCCTTGGGAGCAATTTCCAAACTCCTGATGGTACCACGCTCATCTGTACAAACAATAGTACGCAAGTATAAACACCATGGCACCACGCAGCCGTCATACCGCTCAGGAAGGAGACGTGTTCTGTCTCCTAGAGATGAACGTACTTTGGTGCGAAAAGTGCAAATCAATCCCAGAACAACAGCAAAGGACCTTGTAACGATGCTGGAGGAAACAGGTACAAAAGTATCTATATCCACAGTATAACGAGTCCTATATCGACATAACCTGAAAGGCCGCTCAGCAAGGAAGAAGCCACTGCTCCAAAACCGCCATATAAAAGCCAGACTACGGTTTGCAACTGCACATGGGGACAAAGATCGTACTTTTTGGAGAAATGTCCTCTGGTCTGATGAAACAAGCATACTTCCAAACTTGCGGCAAAATGGCTTAAGGACAACAAAGACAAGGTATTGGAGTGGCCATCACAAAGCCCTGACCTCTCATCCTATAGAACATTTGTGGGCAGATCTGAAAAAGCATATGCGAGCAAGGAGGCCTACAAACCTGACTCAGTTACAGCAGCTTTGTCAGGAGGAATGGGCCAAACTTCACCCAATTTATTGTGGGAAGCTTGTGGAAGGCTACCCGAACCGTTTGACCCAAGTTAAACAATTTAAAGGCAATGCTACCAAATACTAATTGTGTGTATGTAAACTTCTGACCCACTGCGAATGTGATTAAAGAAATAAAAGCTGAAATAAATCATTCTCTCTACTATTATTCTGACATTTCACATTCTAAAAATAAAGTGGTGATCCTAACTGACCTAAGACAGGGAATGTTTACTAGGATTAAATGTCAGGAATTGTGAAAAACTGAGTTTAAATGTATTTGGCTAAGGTGTATGTAAACTTCTGACTTCAACTGTATATATATATATATATATATATATATATATATATATATATATATATATATATATATATATATAAAACCCAGTAATTTATTGGGTAAAATAGCAACGTTTCTCACACTCTATATACAGAGTGTGCGACTCTCTTTATTTATTTTTATAGCTGCCAATAAATAAAATAAAAACATTCTGGCTGACAATGGCCTTCATAACGTTTTGACTGTCAATGGACTATCAACATTCCTCAGAATGTTCATAGTACATAGAAGTATGCATTGTACTTCTATGGCTGGATACTCTCATAACAAATCAGGGCTTTGTTCAGTATGGAGATAACGTTTTAAATTTATTTTAAACCGGGAGATACTACCTGAACGGGGGCAATAAGAATTTTGGTGTCCCTCCTCACCTTGCTCTCCTTCAGCCTATCTTCCTCTGCAATGGCAGGGATGATCTTCAAAGTGATGGAGCCTTGTGACTGGGACTGGTTAAATAAAGGTCAAAAGGATAAAGCATGAGGCTAAAATTACCTTGATAATCAATTATTGCAATTCATTGTCTTCAATGAAAACAATGATAGCCTGTATATTAGCTACATTGGAGAGCAATAGAGCAAAACATTACACCTACCAGAATCTGGCTGATCTCATCTGGTCTTTTGTGGATGATCAGGTTTCCGTTGACCTCTCGAAGTTCATCTCCCACATGCACCAGACCTTGAGGCAGGCAGACAGACAGACATGAAACAATACAAGCAGTACCAGTCAGTCAAACATCAACATATGCATTTACTTTCTAAAATACATGAGCTAAACAAAACACAGACACAGTCAATAACATTTCCATGGCAATGGCAGTGACCAGCTTTGACTGCAACCCCTCTCAGTAATAATCTGCAAAATGCAATCTTGTGGCACACGCCTAATCTCAAGGATTTAATGTCTAGTCTTTATACAGTAGTGACTAGTTTTATTTCTGTGAGGCCATGAAATATAATCCCTTCTCCGATCAGCATTTCAATATTTGTTAAACTTCAAATTTGGCTATTAATTACAATAGTCTCCTGAGTGGCGCAGTGGTCTAAGGCACTGCATCGCAGTGCTAACTGTGCCACTAGAGATCCTGGTTCGAATCCAGGCTCTGTCGCAGCCGGCCGTGACCGGGAGACTCATGGGCGGTGCACAATTGGTCCAGGGTAGGGGAGGGAATGGCCGGTAGGGATGTAGCTCAGTTGATAGAGCATGGCGTTTGCAACGCCAGGGTTGTGGGTTTGATTCCCACAGGGGGCCAGTACAAAAAAATATGTATTCACTAACTGTAAGTCGCTCTGGATAAGAGCGTCTGCTAAATGACTAAAATGTAAATAAATGTGAAGTTCTTCAGACTTTCGAGGTTGAGAGAGATGGGATTTGCTGTCTTGAGTCATCCAGTTGACTTAAACCAAGAAGTTTTACTTTTGGGGTGAGGACAGGGGTATATGACCATGAATAACCTTCATTATGTTGTAATAGGTTGGGATGCTGACCAATAGATAGGGTTGAGTTGAGTAAAGTGGAACTGTAGTTTCAGCCTGGTCTCATAGAATAGACGTAACATAGTAAATGTAAATCCGGGATACTCAAATTAGTATGATATGTTACGTTTGGTATGGTTACATAAGACAGAAGATTTCTTAAGGCTGGTTGGTCAAGATAGGTGAGCGTATAACGCCAACGTCTAGCAACGCATAGTTTGCGTGTTTGAATCTCATCACAGACAACTTTAGCATTTTAGCAACTTTGGAACTACTTGCTACTTTTTAGCTACTTTACAACTACTTAGCATGTTAGATAACCATTCCCCTAACCCTTTAACCTAACTCCTAACCCTAACCTTGTTTGAAGTGGCGCCGGAGAAGATGGCTACCGTTTTACAGCCCTCTAACCAATTGTACTATTATGTGTGTTTTTTCGCGTTATTTGTAATTTATTCTGTACATAATGTTTCTGCCACCGTCTGTTATGACCAAAAGAGCCACCTCGTATTGGACGAAGATTTTTTCTTCAATATCCTACAGACACCCGACAAGGCCCGAATCCCCATCATTCGCATGAGAAAGAGACAGAGATATCATGGACGTAGGTCAGGGTGCCTTGTAAGGATCCGACGGCGAGCGAGTAAACTGCCTCTTTCATCAATCCTATTAGCCAATGTTCAATCATTTGAAAATAAATTAGACGACCTAAGATTAAGGTTATCCTACCAACGGGACATTAAAAACTGTAATATCTTATGTTTCACCGAGTCGTGGCTGAACGACGACAGGGACAACATACATCTGATGAGATATACGCTACATCGGCAGGATAGAACGACTGACTCCCGAAAGACAAGGGATGGCGGTCTGTGTATGTTTTTAAACAACAGCTGGTGCATAAAATCTAATACTACGGAAGTCTCAAGGTTTTGCTCGCCTGAGGTTGAGTATCTCATGATAAGCTGTAGACCACACTATTTATCAAGAGACTTTTCATCTATATTTTTCGTAGCTGTATATATCTACCACCACAAACTGATGCTGGCATTAAGATTGCACTCAATGAGCGGTATAAGGCCATAAGTAAACAGGAAAACGCTCATCCAGAGGCAGCGCTCCTAGTGGCCGGGGACTTTAATGCAGGGAAACTTAAATCCATTCGACCTAATTTCTACCAGCATGTTAAATGTGCAACCAGAGGAAAAACAACTCTAGACCACCTTTACTCCACACACAGAGATGCATACAAAGCTCTCCCTCGCCCTCCATTTGGCAAATCTGACCATAACTCTATCCTCCTGATTCCTGCTTATAAGCAAAAACTAAAGCAGGAAGCACCAGTGACTCGGTTAATAAAAAAGTGGTCAGATGACGCAGATGCTAAGCTACAGGACTGTTTTGCTAGCACAGACTGGAATATGTTCCGGGATTCTTCATTTGGCATTGAGGAGTACACCACATCAGTCACTGGCTTCATCAATTTTTATTTTATTTTATTTTACCTTTATTTAACTAGGCAAGTCAGTTAAGAACAAATTCTTATTTACAATGACGGCCTACACCGGCCAATCCCGGACGACGCTGGGCCAATTGTGCGCCACCCTATGGGACTCCCAATCATGGCCGGTTGTGATACAGCCTGGAATCTAACCAGGGGGTCTGTAGTGACGCCTCAAGCACTGAGATGCAGTGCCTTAGACAGCTGCGCCACTCGGGAGTATAATAAGTGCATTGATGACGTCATCCCCACAGTGACCGTACGTACATACCCCAACCAGAAGCCATGGATTACAGGCAACATCCGCACTGAGCTAAAGGGTAGAGCTGCCGCTTTCAAGGAGCGGGACTGTAACCCGGACGCTTATAAGAAATCCCGCTATGCCCTCCGACGAACCATCAAACAGGCAAAGAGTCAATATAGGAAGGACTAAGATTGAATCGTACTACACCGGCTCTGTGGCAGGGCTTGAAAACTATTACAGCCTACAAAGGGAAGCACAGCCGCGAGCTGCCCAGTGACACAAGCCTACCAGACGAGCTAAATCACTTCTATGCTCGCTTCGAGGCAAGCAACACTGAAGCATGCATGAGAGCTGGATGACTATGTGATCACGCTCTCCATAGCCGATGTTAGTAAGACTTTTAAGCAGGTCAACATTCACAAGGCCGCAGGGCCAGACGGATTACCAGGATGTGTACTCTGAGCATGTGCTGATCAACTGGCAAGTGTCTTCACTGACATTTTCAACATGTCCCTGACTGAGTCTGTAATACCAACATGTTTCAAGCAGACCACCATAGTCCCTGTGCCGAAGGACACTAAGATAACCTGCCTAAATGACTACCGACCTGTAGCACTCACGTCTGTAGCCATGAAGTGCTTTGAAAGGCTGGTCATGGCTCATATCAACACCATTATCCCAGAAACCATAGACCCACACCATCATTAAGTTTGCAGACGACACAACAGTGGTAGGCCTGATCACCGACAACGATGAGACAGCCTATAGGGAGGAGGTCAGAGACCTGGACGTGTGGTGCCAGGATAACAACCTCTCCCTCAACGTGATCAAGACAAAGGAGATGATTGTGGACTACAGGGAAAAAAAGAGGACTGAGCATGCCCCCATTCTCATCGACGGGGCTGTAGTGGAACAGGTTAAGAGCTTCAAGTTCCTTGGTGTCCACATCACCAACAAACTATCATGGTCCAAACACACCAAGACAGTCGTGAAGAGGGCACGACAAAGCCTATTCCCCCTCAGGAGACTTAGAAGATTTGGAATGGGTCCTCAGATACTCAAAATGTTCTACAGCTGCACCATCGAGAGCATCCTGACTGGTTGCATCACCGCCTGGTATGGCAACTGCTCGGCCTCCGACCGCAAGGCACTACAGAGGGTAGTGCGTACAGCCCAGTACATCACTGGGGCCAAGCTTCCTGCCATCCAGGACCTCTATACCAGGCGGTGTCAGAGGAAGGCCCTCAAAATTGTCAAAGACTCCCCCCCCCCCCCCCCCCCCCACCCCATCCCCCTCTTTTACGCTGCTGCTACTCTGTTTATTATTTATGCATAGTCTCTTTACCTCTACCCGCATGTACGTATTACCTCAATTAATTCTACACCGGTACCCCCCCTGTATATAGCCTCTCTACTGTTATTTTATTTTACTGCTGCTCTTTAGTTATTTGCTTACATTTTTTTACTGAACACTTTTTTTGTTTTACTTTTTTTATTCGTAACATATCATAGGATGGACATCCACAAATAAATACATACCATATGAAACGAAACATATCATACTAATTGGAGTGTCTCGGATTTACATTTACTATGTTACGTCTACCCCTATGTCCAGGTTGGTAGTTTATGTGGGTGGGTATGAATGTGAATGAAAAATGGTGAGGATGGAGGTAGGTTACTTTGGTGGTGGTGGTATGGGGAAGGATCTAAGATAGGGTTGGTACAGTACCATATGAGGGGTAGGGCATTGTTGTGGGAGTGAGGGTTTATACTGTGTGTGTGTGTGTGTGTGTGTGTACGCGTGCTGCTCTCTCACCACTGCGGTCCGCAGACCCTCCCCTCATGATCCTGGCCACTATTACAGCCCCCGTCACCTCATCTCTGCGGATGGTCGCCCCCTGGAAAATTTCACCAGGTGATACTATGTAACTATAGCTCCCAGACACTTAACCAGCTCCCAGACACTTAACTAACTCACAGACACTTAACTAACTCACAGAAGAGACTCACAAAGCATGACACCTACCTGCTTATAGCCAAACTCTAAATGGTTGAGTATGGTTGTGCATATTATAATTTAAATGTACCACTGGCCTCTCAAAATGAATTTCCATGAAATGAGGCCAGAATCTCATGCACCCACAATAAAGTATTGTACTGTATCGTATATTGTAAGCTAACGTAAATTGTACTGTATTTTGTATCATATCACATCTTATCGTATCAAGACTCACCAGGGGCTCCTTGTTCTTCACCAACCGGACAATCTTCACAGACTCTTCCTGCAGCTCGTCTTCCACTTCATCTGGCAGCGGGGGCAGCACGGGGTCAAAGTTCTTCTGGGCCACCGTGTCATGGGCTGCCAGGATAGCCTATAGGAGTCAGAGGTCAGAGAGAGACAGACCATAGTGAGATGGGACACATCCTAAATGATGACGATGACGATGATGATGAATCTTTTGTTTCCACTAAAACTGAGTTGGACAGACAGACAATCAATAAATTGAATGAGCTAGGCACGGAAAGAGAGAAAGAGAGGCACAAAGAAATTGAGCCTGAAGAACCTCGAGAAGAGATTGAAGAGAGACAAAATCCCCCCAGGCTATTGTGAAAACGAGCGGGTATAATGAAGATATTACTATACTAATGTTGTGAGCTGTGATTTCTTCCCTAGCTGTCATACACAAAAAGCCATTAAATTGAGCATAATGACCTTGATTAATGTGACTGAAGAGGACTGTCTGTGGCTGCATCTCAAATTGCACCCTATTCCCTACATAGTGCACTACATAGGGTGCCATTTGGGACTCACCCCGTGTCTGGGCTGTAGAAAGGCTTAGTGTTTGCTTTTGATGATGTCGAAGAGATAAAAAACAAGAGGGAGAGAGAGAGAGAGAGAGAGAGAGAGAGAGAGAGAGAGAGAGAGTGTTTGTGTGTGTGTGTGAGACATGTGTACCTTGAGATGAGGAGCACTCAGAAGCAGAAGCAGTTCCCTCTCATCACCTTCCATTGGTCCATTCTGAATCTCCTCAGCCAACTGTCAATTACAGCATTAGGATGTCATCATAAGTAGGCCTAAGACATATTGTTGGTGACTCAACACAACTGAATCTATCTTCCTCCATCTTCACTGACATTTATTAATCCTCTTCACCTGTCCTGTGTTTTCAACTCAGTGGGTTGTGGATGTACTTACATCCTCTGCCAGACAGGAGGCGCTGTGGAGAACTGGAATAGGGCTCTGCCGCTCATACTGGCGCAACTTCTCATGGATCTGTGGTACAACACATCAGAGGCTGGTGGGAGGAGCTATAGGAGGACAGGCTCATAGTAATGGCTGGAATGGTATCAAACATAAACAACCCTAAACAAATCTATAGGGTTGTACCTTCATCAGATAACCCAGGCTCTTCTCGCTGAAGACATCCTTGAGGAACACCAGGTCTTCTTTGTGTTTGGCATCAGGGTGGAGCTGAGAGGTGAGCAGGGCCAGAGTCTCATGCAACCCTACAATGAGAAAAGCATTACCCCATTACAGAGCAAGCACACTACCTCCTGTGCCATCAAGGTTAAAACCTCTTGGCAGAGGCTGTACTACGTTATAGGCCTTTTCATACTGCTACCCACAATTAATATTCAAATTAGGAGACAACAGAACTCTGTGATTGGCTGGCCCCAAAAAGCTGGTACTAAGAGCACTCTTAGCCAAGTGGGTTCATAGCCCTAGGCTAAATTAAGTGTGAATGTGCCTATATATACATGGAGGCTAAGCTGCACTAGCATTCAAGACTGAAAGATGCCTCTCTGACTGAGAATATCATATTATTGAAAATTCCAAAACAAAAATCTAACATAACAAGGCATATGAATCCAGACATATGTCCAATAACTAACTATACAATAGTGATGTAGTAACACATACATTAAACATGAATACCATACATTATACATGAGCTTTAGCCTTGTGTCTGTCCTTACCTGTGCTTGCAGAGAGGTGAGGCATAGCTTCAATCATTTAGAAGCTGGAAGGACCAGCTAGTGTAGTTGCTGGAGCTCCTCCTTTTTCTTATTATCCAGATTTATACCCGGACTGTCAATCCTACAGGGAAAAAAAATAAAATAAAAATAAACAACAAAACAAACTGCTCACTCTTCTCATTGGCACAGACATAAACGAGGAGCATGTTGCCTTTCCCTGTAACCTATTCAAAGATTTATACAGAAAGCATAATATAGGTACTGAAATCCACAATTGCACAACTACAGCCTGCATGAAGAACAGAGTTATGTCAGTCATTTAAAACCATGGTTTAAGGTGGTATACTGTGGCAATGTAATGATGTAAATGCATCATCCGGGAGCGTGTGATGCCAGTAAGACCTTTAGAGGCAAACACTTGAGAGACAGGTTGACTTCCGGTCAGGCGATGTGAGAAGACGCGTTTGAGAGGTCCCCAATTATACTTTAATTTTAACCGTTTTTTTTTTTACACGCTACTGTTAGTTCTTATGTGGATGTATCAGTTGGTTATATTCTTTTAATCAATTTTCATGGTACCATGAGCAAGACCAACCCGAAGAGAACTGCTACGATTAACACATCTTCGAAGGCCGAACCAACTACTCGAACACAGAAAATGGCTGCCGCGGCCAGTCCTGCTGCAGAGTCGGAGGCCTTGTCTATGACCACGCTTGTAGATGAGCTAGCTAAACAAAGAAGTAGCCTAAAAGAGGATATGGCTTCTCTCATCAGCACTTCACTGGCACCTCTCCAAACTTCCATTGATGCCTTTCGAGAAACAGTCAACACGTTTGGGCGACGCCTCACTACACTAGAAGGTTTCTCCACTGACAACACCGAGCGGATTGCCGAGCTAGAGGCAGCTGTATCTCATATGAAAACGGCCAACACAACTCTACTTTCCAAGGTAGATTCGTTGGAGAATTATACCAGAATGGAAAACATCCGGATCGTTGGCGTCATGGAGGGAATTGAGACTGGAGTCAACCCTGTGAAATTTGTCTCCGACATGCTGGTGGAAGTGATGGGTAACAGTGTCTTTGATAAGCCGCCGGAGCTCGACCGAGCGCACAGATCCCTCGCCCCCAAACCCAACTCAGGGGAGAGGCCTAGGGCGATCATAGCCCGCTTTCATCATTACCAAGACAAGGAACAACGTGCAATGCGCTAGGCGAGGGAGCATCAACCAAAATTCCGTGGCCAAGTTGGTAGAGCATGGCGCTTGCAACGCCAGGGTTGTGGGTTTGTTTCCCACGGGTGCCAGTATGAAAAAATGTATCCACTCACTAACTGTAAGTCGCTCTGGTTAAGAGCGTCTGCTAAATGACTAAAATGTAAATGTAAATATACAATTCTACCCGGACCTGAGTGCCAATCTCGTGAAGAAAAGAGCTGAATTCAAGGACATCAAAACCTGTCTCTACAAGAAGGGATAAAGTTTCAGCTCATCGTTGTGTCTTTTATGAGGGAGAGACCCTAATTTTTGACACACTGGCAAAGGCTAAAGCATTCTATGTCCGGCGTATAGAGTAAAGGAAGCGGCCCAGCTGGCTAGCCATGGAGGGAGGACTATGTAGCTGGCTACTTTGCTAGCTGGCAACGGACTGATTTTCATGACATCCACTTGGATATTACTTTTCACATGAAAGCAGTGTTTGTTTTTTTCTCATTCCGGGAGCACCCGATTACATCTTTATTTGATTTAGTTTTATTTGACTGAGATTAGTGGCAACGTTAGCTAATACATCACAATCAAATTGGCTGGCTAGCGGGAGCTGGCACACTTGACTGTTTACTATCTGGCTGGTTAGCTAACGCCACTTTTTTGTATGTATTTTTACACTGCAACAAGATGAATGCTTAACTCCAGGAGGGATATCTTTATTGTGTCTATACTTGGCTGAGAAGATTTCAGAAAACAGGAACATTGGGCTGACTTGCTAACATGGCTAGTTACGCACAACAAAAACCGTAGTGCTGAAGGACTGCCTTGGCTATTTGAATGTGGCGGTGAATTTAGCTAAGCACTTCTCCACCATTTCTAGCGGCTAGCTGGCTGAGATATAGCTTGACATATGGACAACTACCTAGCTAGCTACATCTAGAATCAATTGAACGAAGATCTGTATCCATGTAAGTAATATTGGCGGGCTGACTAGCATAGCTGGTACTAGTAACACAAGTTAAATATCCAACGTGAGTTTGTTTTTGTTTGAACTAACTTATGCTGCCATTAGCTAGTCATTTAACGTTACCTCTCTAAAGACTATTTACTAATGCTACAATCTTAGGGTTTAACTCAGGTTACTTTCTTGTTTGCATTTGATTTCATGTGTCTGTAATGCCTTTGTTTGATTGAGTGGGTGTTTGGATATACAGTGAAGGAAAAAAGTATTTGATCCCCTGCTGATTTTGTACGTTTGCCCACTGACAAAGACATGATCAGTCTATAATTTTAATGGTAGGTTTATTTGAACAGTGAGAGACAGAATAACAACAACAAAATCCAGAAAAATGCATGTAAAAAATGTTATAAATTGATTTGCATTTTAATGAGGGAAATAAGTATTTGACCCCTTTGCAAAACATGACTTAGTACTTGGTGGCAAACATTTCTTGTAGTTGGCCACCAGGTTTGCACACATCTCAGGAGGAATTTTGTCCCACTCCTCTTTGCAGATCTTCTCCAAGTAATTAAGGTTTCGAGCCTGACGTTTGGCAACTCGAACCTTCAGCTCCCTCCACAGATTTTCTATGGGATTAAGCTCTGGAGACTGGCTAGGCCACTCCAGGACCTTAATGTGCTTCTTCTTGAGCCACTCCTTTGTTGCCGTGTGTTTTGGGTCATTGTCATACTGGAATACCCATCCATGACCCATTTTCAATGCCCTGGCTGAGGGAAGGAGGTTCTCACCCAAGATTTGACAGTACATGGCCCAGTCCATCGTCCCTTTGATGCGGTGAAGTTGTCCTGTCCCCTTAGCAGAAAAACATCCCCAAAGCATAATGTTTCCACCTCCATGTTTGACGATGGGGATGGTGTTCTTGGGGTCATAGGCAGCATTCCTCCTCCTCCAAACACGTCGAGTTGAGTTGATGCCAAAGAGCTCGATTTTGGTCTCATCTGACCACAACACTTTGAATCATTCAGATGTTCATTGGCAAACTTCAGACGGGCCTGTATATGTGCTTTCTTGAGCAGGGGGACCTTGCGGGCACTGCAGAATTTCAGTCCTTCACGGCGTAGTGTGTTACCAATTGTTTTCTTGGTGACTATGGTCCCAGCTGCCTTGAGATCATTGACAAGATCCTCCCGTGTAGTCCTGGGCTGATTCCTCACCGTTCTCATGATCATTGCAACTCCACGAGGTGAGATCTTGCATGGAGCCCCAGGCCGAGGGAGATTGACAGTTCTTTTGTCTTTCTTCCATTTGCGAATAATCGCACCAACTGTTGTCACCTTCTCACCAAGCTGCTTGGCGATGGTCTTGTAGCCCATTCCAGCCTTGTGTAGGTCTACAATCTTGTCCCTGACATCCTTGGAGAGCTCTTTGGTCTTGGCCATGGTGGAGAGTTTGGAATCTGATTGATTGATTGCTTCTGTGGACAGGTGTCTTTTATACAGGTAACAAACTGAGATTAGGAGCACTCCCTTTAAGCTCAGCTGGTAGAGCACGGCGCTTGTAACGCCAATGTAGTGGGTTCGATCCCCGGGACCACCCATACACAAAAAAGAAATTATGCACGCATGACTGTAAGTCGCTTTGGATAAAAGCGTCTGCTAAATGGCATATTATTATTATATTATATTATAAAAGACACCTGGGAGCCAGAAATCTTTCTGATTGAGAGGGGGTCAAATACTATATTATATGATAAAAGACACCTGGGAGCCAGAAATCTTTCTGATTGAGAGGGGGTCAAATACTTATTTCCCTCATTAAAATGCAAATCAATTTATAACATTTTTGACATGAGTTTTTCTGGATTTTTGTTGTTGTTATTCTGTCTCTCACTGTTCAAATAAACCTACCATTAAAATTATAGACTGATCATGTCTTTGTCAGTGGGCAAACTTACAAAATCAGCAGGGGATCAAATACTTTTTTCCCTCACTGTATTTGGCTTTCGACTCTACGGAGGTTCATGGACGTTAGAATATTTTGGCATTCGTGTTTGTGGGATGCGTTTCCTGCTGTGGTCTTTGTGGTCACGCTGCGCCTATTTTACTCCTTGTGGTTGTGGACACAGTTGCGCGGTGCGGCTGCAGGAGCGTGGTGTGGAGCACGCCCCTAACACAACCCATGGGCGAAGTCTTGACTAACAGAAGCATTTTATTTGGCTATTTGCGTTTGTTAAAGCCAATGGAGGATGTAACTGATCGACTATTGAGTGGCACTGTTAATATTTGAGTTTAAACAATTTAAAACTGGCGTTGTAAATAATGATGTTAATAATTGGGAGCCCTCTTGTAAGTTGAGTGGCAGATGGTTAACCGGGAGTTTAAACCTATTTGGGGAAGCCTGCAGTCCACCCTAGATGCGAGCATAGGACAGTGTTATTTTGCACTGTGTTTATTTTGTTGTGTTATTTTTTGGGTTTTATGTCAGGGGGGTGGGGGGATGTTGTTTGCCTTCATTAACCATTTGATTGTTACATATTCTACTTCAACAGTATTTTGTCTAACTTTTCGGTACATGCTTTTTCTTTTGTCACAGGATATGATTGGTGGTCTTATACAGGGTTTTCATCTCTATTCCAGTTATAATTTAGTAATCTCAATTTGTAATGACTGACAATTCAGATATTGGGGTGGGAGTTGGGGGGTCAGCTATTAGGTTTACAAGCTGGAACGTCAAGGCAATGAACGGCCCGGTTAAACAGGCTAGAGTATTTGCTCATCTTAAGAATTAAAAAACTGATATAGCATTCTTACAAGAAACACATCTGTGTACAGCAGATCATGGTAGACTCCGTAAAGCT